CCCGGGCGGGCGGGCGGGCGGGTGCGGACGGCAGGGTAAGCGACCCCGGCTGGGAGGCGGCGGCGGCGGATGGGGGACCGGGGGCGTGGGCGCCCGGGGCGGCGGCCGGGGTAACGTGCGCTCCTCTCCCCCTTGCAGGCCGGACGACCCCGCGGGAGCCGGGGCCCGGAGACCCGCCCGGGGCGGCATTGACGGGAGCGGCGGCCGCAGGCCCGGGCGGCTCAGCGGCGCCAGCAGGAAGCGGGGTCCCTGGGCCCCTTTGTGTGCAGGGCGGGGGAGGAGTGCGGGCGGCCGCTTCCCACGGGGTCCCCTTTCGGTGCCCCCGCCCCGTCGCCGGCTGGGACGCCCCCTGGCTAGGCTGCAGCTCCTATAGGAAGGGCATTGCCCTCCCGTCACCACCCACCCCACCAGCGGGCTCTGCCCCTCCCCCGCCTGCAACTTCCTCTTCTTCCCGTTGGGCCCTGGGCTGCTCTGCGCTCTCCGCCCCAGTTCGCAGTTTTCCGCCCACCTTCCGCCTCGCCTCGCCGCAGCTAGCGGGGTGCTGTTTCCCCCCTCTGGTAGGAGTTGGTGAAGGTGAGACTCATGAGGGAATACAAGGTAGTGGTGTTAGGCAGTGGAGGGGTTGGCAAATCTGCCCTGACCGTGCAGTTTGTCACCGGGACTTTCATTGAGAAATATGACCCCACCATTGAAGACTTCTACCGCAAAGAGATCGAAGTGGACTCTTCCCCCTCGGTGCTGGAAATTCTGGACACCGCAGGAACTGAGCAGTTTGCCTCCATGAGAGATCTCTACATCAAGAACGGCCAGGGATTCATCCTGGTTTATAGTCTGGTCAATCAGCAGTCCTTTCAGGTAACCAAACCAAAGCTTGTACTTTGTTGCAAGGGGGTGTGGTAAGGCGCTCTCTACTTCTGGGTTGCTTCAACTGTGCCATGATGACTGTGTTTGGCTTTTGAAAGTTAGACGTGGGGCGTATGGGAGCTCACTCCTCGCATGGAAGAGGGTCGGGTGGTTTCTGGAGTGCGCGCTAAAGTAATAACTGTCAACAACTATTGTTTAAGTTATTTGTAAGTGGAAGAAACGCGAAAAAGAAAGGAGGCAGTCTGCGCATATTTGGCCGGGAACGTAACCTTCGGAAGTGGCTAGTTTTCAGTTCAACAAGTATTGATTTCTGTGGTTTTCCAGAGCATCTCGAGTGTAGAGAGCACATTGAACAGAAAATGGTTTGGCGCCCATTATCTCTGTTGCACAGATAAGTCCTCAGCGGCGTCTACTTTTCCACCCGCCCCCTCTCTGTTCTCACCCAACTTTCTCCACTAGCTCCGCAAGTTCTAAGTGCTGGCGCTCGGAAAGAAAGACCCCTAAAGACACCGAGGCCTGCCTTCTGGGCATTTTACTTACCTACTAGGGAGTGTTTGGCATAAAGGGAAGGTTAGTAATTGAAAAGACTCTCCAGAATGGACAACCAACAAAAAAGCTAGAAGGACTCTTCGTTTCAACAGTCGATCCAAGTCGTAACACTGACTATATTTATAGAAAATGTGTAGATCTGGGGACACGGAACAAGTGCAGATTTCTCATCCTGGCTGGGTGGCCGACCTGGATGTGGTCCAGTTTCTTTGGAAAATCTGCCCTGTCCTCCACTGAGAGACAGACCGAAGGTTCAACGTTATTTTAAGAGATGCCATAAATGTTGCTATTTATTCCTTGAAAATAAATAACCTCATATTGACCCATTGTATTGACCTTCATCGAATTAGGAAATGGATGTGTGTGTATGTGTGTGTGTGTATCCGTATACGGTATTTAAAGGTATGCACTTAATGGTGTTTACTTAAGGGACACTAAGTGCTTTAGCCAGTAAAATTTGCTAATTTCACTTTCTTTAGTATTTCAAATTTAAAGGACTGGAGTGAACTTTGCCAATAACCTAACTAATATAGCAACATGAGAATTGTTTTAAGTATTAAGTTCTGGGTAAATGAATCAGAGCTATTAAGACCAAACTAAAGTTCATTTCATGTAGGCTTAGGTTCCAAAACCATCATTTCATAAAAGCATTTTCCCCAGAAAGTACTGAAGGGTGCTATTTGACAGGCATTTTCTTTCCAAAGGATCCTCAGGAGATTTCTTATTCTATTAGCTGACTCTCTTGAGGCTAGAAATCTCTTGGAGCGTTTTTCATAAGATTTCCATTATATCTGTTTCTGTTATAGACATAAATAGGGAGTGGAAACGGTGCCATCATTCCAACAAGGACTTAAACGCTTTGAAACCTAAATACACGAACTCTGGCTTCTCAGCTGAACTTGTGTTTCCCTAAGGTCACAGGGAAAAGGGATTGCTTAACCTGGAAGACTGAACTGGTATACAACCAAGCAAAATTGTTATAAATATGAAATCACTATTTTTTTTCCATAAATGTTCGCAGTCCCTTTTTTTGCCCCTTCATCCTGCGTGTGGATATTGTGCGTTTAGTGTAGCTACTCAGATTGAACACACATTTTGTATTTAAGTCAAACCTTTTAAGTGAGGAAAAATCACAAGTAAATTGTAATGTCAGGATTACATCTGTAATAGTGTATGAAATTGATCATTTTTTCCCCTCCCAGAGTTGATGCAACTGGAGAATTGTCAAGATCCTGTGCTATTATTATATATGTCATTCATTGGCTTTTAAATTACAAAATGTAATACACACACAACAAAATTCAAGTAGTCAAAGCAAAGATACGCAGAGAATAGTCTTCTTCCCGCGCTCCTGACTCCCCCTTCATTGTCCTTCTGGGGAGTTGCTCACCTAGTTTCTAATGTATGGACCAGTATTTGAAGGTGTTTGATTTCATTGAGATAAAGGCATACCATTACGTTTAAAATGAAACATTTCTTCTCTTTTTAACTTAGTCTTCAGGTATTCTGGAGTGGTTTGTTGTTGTTCTCACCTAAAACCCTTGCTCTCGACATTCTTACTAAATCACTAAGAATACATACATACTGCAGTCCTGTCCTAGGATAACAGGTATTGTAAGGTGTGGTGACAGCTAGGCAAGTTTAGGGAGATGGCCAGACATCTTCATGTATGACTGCTTGAATCATATTTGGGGAACTTTTTCAATTACTATGTAAGTTCTAAGGTTAATGTGCAACCTATGTTTTAAATTATTCTTGACATAAACTCAGCAGGTAGGGCCCATAAAAATAATCTAGTTCCTATATCAGTGGAGAAAGTAACATTTTTGCATTTTGGCTGTGTGATTTTATTTTGGATTTGGCTTTATATAGTCACTGAAGGATATCTTTTGTGATATTTTATTACATCTTTTATGGCTATGCAAACAGTGTAATTTTTTTTCTTTCTCTTTGTGCTTGTTTGAATAGGATATCAAGCCAATGAGAGATCAGATTGTCAGAGTGAAGAGATATGAAAAAGTCCCACTAATCCTAGTAGGAAATAAAGTGGATCTGGAACCAGAAAGAGAGGTTATGTCTTCAGAAGGCAGGGCTCTGGCGCAAGAATGGGGCTGTCCTTTCATGGAGACATCTGCAAAAAGTAAATCGATGGTAGATGAACTTTTTGCCGAGATCGTCAGGCAAATGAACTATTCATCCCTGCCCGAGAAGCAAGACCAGTGTTGTACAACTTGTGTTGTCCAGTAAAAAAGATAACCTCAATCATGGCCATACCGAGCAGGTTAGTGGTTGATGGAACCCTGTGAGCCACGTAGTATTTTGTTTTTCAGCAAGTGTAACAAAAAGATGGTTAGTATTAATGCAGGCCGTTCCCGGATTACAAACAGGTACTGTTCCTGAATCCATCTTTATGTCAAATTTGTATGTAAGTCAGAACAGTCGGGTATGGTTCATACCTAACATTAGTCAAATGTTTGCCTTGGTATAGATGGTATATAGTGTACTTTTCTAGGCATACAAAAGCATTAAGGATACACTTCCAGATACACTAAAACATCTTTAACATAATAACACAGTAGTAATAACAATAGTGCCTTTATGCACATTGCAAAGTAGCACCCATTTGTTATTACGAACCATTGTCTATACCTTGAATTTTTAATATAATATTATATATTAATAATAGGCTGTTAACTATGGTTATACATAAGTCAGATGTTTGTAATCCTGGGACTTCCTGTACATAACTTTTTCCTTAGCACGAAAGTACTCAACATTCAATGCAGAAAATGCCAAAAGAAGCAAAAAGAAGGTAAGGAACTGCCAGTAATTCCCATCACCAAGATTTATTTTTGCAAAGTGAGTTATTGTTCTTCTCTGCTTTATTGATAACATTTCTGTGAGCTAGTTAAATGATAGTACACTTCTCCCTGTCTTGTAGAGTTAGCATGCAAAATGCACACAGGACAAGATCCAGTAATAATTTCAGGAGATGATCAGTTTTGTTTTCTAGGCTTTTATATCCTGGGCTAGAGAGCTGCTGTAATTGAAATATTCCATTTACTAATCACCCAAGTGTTTGATTTAACAGGCTGCTTATTTAATCAAGTTCATCTGTGCCTTGCACTTGAGGGATTTGAGTGACCTCTGATAGTAAAAACGAATTATACTGCCACAACGCACCTTGAATATGTGGTCCAAATGAGAATCTGGTTAAATCACCTGTGATCTGGTACAAGGGACCAGCCTGAGCACAGGAACCCTTTTTATTCATTTTAATAAATACTGGAGTTCACAAGAACAATAACAAACCCTCAACCTTTTCATGCAGTTAAATAATCAAAGTCTGTAAGTGAGTGAGCTTTTGAAAAAGGAAGGTTATGTAAAATTTACTGAGTGTTGAAAATGAAATTCTTTTATTCATATCGTAATCTTTTAATCTCAATTGTAATTGGGCATAGTCTCACTCAGACAGTAACACTTAGATAATAAGATAAAACACAAACAACCCAGAGCGTGGATGACTGGGAAACAACAGCAAATGCCAGACTAGCCTGACAGTATCAGGAATGGAATTGATCTTTTTGAGCCAAGGTTGACCTCAAGTCCAGGAGTCAGTGTTGCAAATGGCAACAGGCATTTCACATTGCAGTGATGATTCCTAATCAAAGGCCTGGCTTTATATATGCTCCCTTGAGGAAGGACTCACAGTCCCTAATTTGTCTTTTCAGACTCAGTCTCCTGCCAGGTAGTGTCATCTTTGTAAAGGAAGGATGAAAACAGTGCTTTGTTCAAAATGGTTTCCCTCATCAGACTGTTAGCTACCAGAGTATGATGAAAACTCATTTATTTTCTTATGCCCAGCAGCATCTGTTATCTCACAAAGTCACTGCTCAGGCTGTAGTCCAGCACGTATGTTGCTGATAGCATTGCATTGGTAGTATAGTCCTTTTGGTGCAGGGACTGGCGTAGGTAGGTGATCGAGTCCTGAGTTCTTCCTTCCGTAATCTTCCTTCTTAAATTATAAGTCAGCTTCAAGTTTGAACAGGTTCAGTGGTGATTGTGTCATGCCTTTGTGCTTTGTTTCTCTATCTGACCCTTTTTACCTGGGCATACGACAAAAGTGTTCATG